CCCCCGTGTAGCCTCTAATAGACTGTAGGGGCAAGTGCTGTTAGTAGCGAGTAGCAGCACCTACACAGACAAAGATCCCCCGTGTAGCCTCTAACAGACTGTAGGGGCAAGTGCTGCTAGTAGCGAGTAGCAGCACCTACACACAGACAAAGATCCTCCGTGTAGCCTGTAACAGACTGTAGGGGCAAGTGCTGTTATTAGCGAGTAGCAGCACCTACACACAGACAAAGATCCCCCGTGTAGCCTTCACAGACTGTAGGGGCAAGTGCTGTTAGTAGCGAGTAGCAGCACCTGCACAGACAAAGATCCCCCGTGTAGCCTCACACAGACTGTAGGGGCAAGTACTGTAAGCGAGTAGCAGCACCTACACACAGACAAAGATCCCCCGTGTAGCCTGTAACAGGCTGTAGGGGCAAGTGCTGTTAGCGAGTAGCAGCACCTACACACAGACAAAGATCCCCCGTGTAGCCTCACACAGGCTGTAGGGGCAAGTGCTGTTAGCAGCGAGTAGCAGCACCTACACACAGACAAAGATCCCCCGTGTAGCCTCTAACAGACTGTAGGGGCAAGTGCTGTTAGCGAGTAGCAGGACCTATACACGGACAAAGATCCCCCGTGTAGCCTGTAACAGGCTGTAGGGGCAAGTGCTGTTAGTAGCGAGTAGCAGCAGCTACACACAGACAAAGATCCCCCGTGTAGCCTCTAACAGACTGTAGGGGCAAGTGCTGTTAGTAGCGAGTAGCAGCACCTACACACAGACAAAGATCCCCCGTGTAGCCTCTAACAGACTGTAGGGGCAAGTGCTGTTAGTAGCGAGTAGCAGCACCTACACACAGACAAAGATCCCCGTGTAGCCTCTAATAGACTGTAGGGGCAAGTGCTGTTAGTAGCGAGTAGCAGCACCTACACAGACAAAGATCCCCCGTGTAGCCTGTAACAGACTGTAGGGGCAAGTGCTGTAAGCGAGTAGCAGCACCTATACACAGACAAAGATCCCCCGTGTAGCCTGTAACAGGCTGTAGGGGCAAGTGTTGTTAGTAGCGAGTAGCAGCACCTACACACAGACAAAGATCTCCCGTGTAGCCTGTAACAGGCTGTAGGGGCAAGTGCTGTTAGCGAGTAGCACCTACACACAGACAAAGATCCCCCGTGTAGCCTTCACAGACTGTAGGGGCAAGTGCTGTAAGCGAGTAGCACCACCTATACACAGACAAAGATCCCCCGTGTAGCCTGTAACAGACTGTAGGGGCAAGTGCTGTTAGCGAGTAGCAGCACCTATACACAGACAAAGATCCCCCGTGTAGCCTCTAACAGACTGTAGGGGCAAGTGCTGTTAGTAGCAAGTAGCACCTACACACAGACAAAGATCCCCCGTGTAGCCTCACACAGACTGTAAGGGCAAGCAGCGAGTAGCAGCACCTACAAACAGACAAAGATCCCCCGTGTACCCTCTAACAGACTGTAGGGGCAAGTGCTGTTAGTAGCGAGTAGCAGCACCTACACACAGACAAAGATCCCCCGTGTAGCCTCACACAGACGGTAGGGGCAAGTGCTGTTAGTAGTGAGTAGTAGCACCTACACACAGACAAAGGTCCCCCGTGTAGCCTCACACAGACTGTAGGGGCAAGTGCTGTTAGTAGCGAGTAGCAGCACCTACACACAGACAAAGATCCCCCGTGTAGCCTCTAACAGACTGTAGGGGCAAGTGCTGTAAGCGAGTAGCAGCACCTACACACAGACAAAGATCCCCCGTGTAGCCTGTAACAGGCTGTAGGGGCAAGTGTTGTTAGTAGCGAGTAGCAGCACCTACACACAGACAAAGATCCCCCGTGTAGCCTGTAACAGACTGTAGGGGCAAGTGCTGTTAGTAGCGAGTAGCAGCACCTACACACAGACAAAGATCCCCCGTGTAGCCTCACACAGGCTGTAGGGGTAAGTGCTGTTAGCGAGCACCTATTAAGGGCGGCACTGTGGCACACGAGGGGGTGGGTGGCCAGCACCACGCCCGGCCGTCTTTGTCTCCCTCCCCACCCACTCACCCCTCACCCCCCCCTCACTCATTCACCCGCTCACTCACCCGCTCACTCACCTGCTCACTCACCCGCTCACTCACCCACTCACCCACCCACCCACTCACCCACCCACTCACTCACTCACCCACTCACCCACCCACCCGCTCACTCACCCGCTCACTCACTCACTCACCCGCTCACTCACCCGCTCACTCACCCACTCACCCACCCACCCACTCACTCACCCACTCACCCACCCACCCACTCACCCACCCACTCACCTACCCACGCACTCACTCACCCACCCACTTACTCACCCACTCACTCACCCACCCACTTACCCACCCACCCACTCACCCACCCACTCACCCACTCACTCACCCACCCACTCACACACTCACCCACTCACTCACTCACTCACCCACTCACTCACTCACCCACCCACCCACCCACTCACTCACCCACCCACTCACCCACTCACTCACTCACCCACTCACTCACTCACCCACTCACTCACTCACTCACCCACCCACCCACTCACTCACCCACCCACTCACCCACCCACCCCCCCCTCACCTGCTCACCCACTCACCAGTAAGCTCCAGCTGCAGGAAGCCCGGTCCACTGCCGCCATCCCCTCTGGCATGCTGAGGAGGAGGAGGAGGAGGGGCGTGGTGGTGAGGAGGGGTGAGCGCCAGGGTGAGCGAGACGCTGCTGATGGTGAGTCTCAGCTGAGCGAGCACCACGTCCCTCTGGGTGAACGAGTCGCAGGTCGTGGGGTCGCTCATCACTCCCATCAGCTCCTCCTCCTCCTCTACATCAACAACATCAACAACAACATCATCAACAACAACAACAACATCACCAACATCAACATCACCAACAACAACATCAACAACATCAACAACATCAACATCATCACTCCCATCAGCTCCTCCTCCTCCTCTACATCAACATCATCAACAACATCAACAACAACAACATCAACAACAACATCATCATCAACATCACCACCACCACCACCGTTGACCCGGCCACGGTGAACCCTCACCACCACCACCACCACCGTTGACCCGGTCACGGTGAACCCTCACCACCACCACCACCGTTGACCTGGCCACGGTGAACTCTCACCACCACCACCACCGTTGACCCGGCCACGGTGAACCCTCACCACCACCACCACCACCGTTGACCCGGCCACGGTGAACCCTCACCACCACCACCACCACCGTTGACCCGGCCACGGTGAATCCTCACCACCACCACCACCGTTGACCCGGCCACGGTGAACTCTCACCACCACCACCACCACCACCGTTCACCCGGCCACGGTGAACTCTCACCACCACCACCACCACCGTTGACCCGGCCACGGTGAACTCTCACCACCACCACCACCGTTGACCCGGCCACGGTGAACCCTCACCACCACCACCGTTCACCCGGCCACGGTGAACCCTCACCACCACCACCACCGTTCACCCGGCCACGGTGAACCCTCACCTGGACCAATCTCCCTCAGCTTGGCACTGCCCTCCAGTTGACTTGGCACAAAGTCCTTAGCAGCGGCGGCAGTGGTTCCAGCGTCGGCGTTTCCACCGGCGGATTCACCGCTCGCTTCCTCGGCGTACCAGCCGGACCAGCCAGGGAACCACGAGCGGAGGTAGGCGAGATACCCGGCGCCGGTAACGTCACCGCTACCGGGACCAGCAGCGGTAGCGGTGGGGTCCCGGTGAGTCGTACCGTGTCCAGGGTCCACAGCCTGGGTCACGGGGAGGAGGAGAGGATCGGTGTGTGTCTGTGTGTGTGTGTCTGTGTGTGTGTGTCTGTGTGTGTATGTGTGTCTGTGTGTGTGTGTCTGTGTGTGTGTCTGTGTGTGTGTGTGTGTGTCTGTGTGTGTGTGTGTCTGTGTGTGTGTGTGTGTCTGTGTGTGTGTGTCTGTGTGTGTGTGTCTGTGTGTGTGTCTGTGTGTGTGTGTGTCTGTGTGTGTGTCTGTGTGTGTGTGTGTCTGTGTGTGTGTGTGTCTGTGTGTGTGTGTGTGTCTGTGTGTGTGTGTGTCTGTGTGTGTGTGTGTCTGTGTGTGTGTGTGTGTGTCTGTGTGTGTGTGTCTGTGTGTGTGTGTCTGTGTGTGTGTCTGTGTGTGTGTGTGTGTGTCTGTGTGTGTGTGTGTCTGTGTGTGTGTGTGTGTGTCTGTGTGTGTGTGTGTGTCTGTGTGTGTGTGTGTTGTTACTCGACAGTCGTCTGCTCCTGCTGTTGCTTGTTGTTGTTGATGTTTGTTGTTGATGTTTGTTGGTGATGTTTGTTGTTGTTGATGTTTGTTGATGTTTGTTGTTGTTGTTGATGTTTGTGAATCTCACCTCCAGCGGGAGCTGCTCCCTCTTCAGCCGTCCCCTCACAGCCTCCCTCAGCGCCAAAACTTCCTCAAACGACAGCTCAAACTCCACACGCTCCATCAGCGCCTGACGCACACACACACACAGTCACACACACACACAGTCACACACACACACAGTCACACACACACACAGTCACACACACACACACACACACAGTCACACACACACACAGTCACACACACACAGACACACACACACAGACACACACACACAGTCACACACACACAGTCACACACACACACAGTCACACACACACACAGTCACACACACACAGTCACACACACACACAGTCACACACACACAGACACACACACACAGTCACACACACACAGTCACACACACACAGTCACACACACTCACACACACACAGTCACACACAGTCACACACACACAGACACACACACACAGTCACACACACACAGTCACACACACACAGTCACACACAGTCACACACACACAGTCACACACAGTCACACACACACAGTCACACACACACAGTCACACACACACAGTCACACACACACACAGTCACACACACACAGTCACACACACACACAGTCACACACACACACAGTCACACACACACAGTCACACACACACAGACACACACAGACAGCCACACACACACAGACACACACACACACACACAGACACACACACACACACAGACACACACACAGACACACACACACACAGTCACACACACACACAGTCACACACACACACAGTCACACACACACACAGTCACACACACACAGTCACACACACACACACACAGTCACACACACACACAGTCACACACACACAGTCACACACACACAGACACACACACACAGTCACACACACACAGTCACACACACACAGTCACACACACACACACAGTCACACACAGTCACACACACACAGTCACACACACACAGTCACACACACAGTCACACACACACAGTCACACACACACAGACACACACAGACAGCCACACACACACACACACACACAGACACACACACACAGACACACACACACACACAGACACACACACACAGACACACACACACACACAGTCACACACACACACAGTCACACACACACACACAGTCACACACACACAGTCACACACACACACAGTCACACACACACACACAGTCACACACACACAGTCACACACACACACACACAGTCACACACACAGTCACACACAGACAGCCACACACACACAGACAGACACACACAGACACACACACACACAGTCACACACACACACACACAGTCACACACACACACAGTCACACACACACAGTCACACACACACAGTCACACACACACAGTCACACACACACAGTCACACACACACACAGTCACACACACACAGTCACACACACACAGTCACACACACACAGTCACACACACACAGTCACACACACACAGTCACACACACACACACAGTCACACACACACACAGTCACACACACACACAGTCACACACACACACAGTCACACACACACACAGTCACACACACACACACAGTCACACACACACACAGTCACACACACACAGTCACACACACAGTCACACACACACAGTCACACACACACACACAGACACACACAGTCACACACACACAGTCACACACACACACACACAGACACACACACACACACAGACACACACACACAGACACACAGACACACACACAGTCACACACACACACAGTCACACACACACAGTCACACACACACACACAGTCACACACACACAGTCACACACACACAGTCACACACACACACACAGTCACACACACACACAGTCACACACACACAGTCACACACACACAGTCACACACACAGTCACACACACACAGTCACACACACACAGTCACACACACACACAGTCACACACACACAGTCACACACACACAGTCACACACACACAGTCACACACACACACACAGTCACACACACACAGTCACACCCACCCACTCACTCACCCACTCACTCACCCACTCACCCACCCACCCACCCACTCACCCACCCACCCACCCACTCACCCACCAACCCACCCACTCACCCACCAACCCACCCACTCACCCACCAACCCACCCACTCACCCACCAACCCACCCACTCACCCACCAACCCACCCACTCACCCACCCACCCACTCACCCACCCACCCACCCTCTCACCCACCCACTCACCCACCCACTCACTCACCCACCCACCCACTCACCCACCCACCCACTCACCCACTCACTCACTCACCCACTCACTCACCCACTCACCCACCCACTCACTCACCCACTCACCCACCCACTCACTCACCCACTCACCCACTCACTCACTCACTCACCCACTCACCCACTCACTCACCCACTCACCCACCCACTCACTCACCCACTCACCCACTCACCCACCCATTCACTCACCCACCCACTCACTCACCCACTCACCCACTCACTCACCCACTCACTCACCCACTCACTCACCCACTCACCCACTCATTCACCCACTCACCCACTCACTCACCCACCACCCACCCACCCACTCACTCACCCACTCACTCACCCACTCACTCACCCACCCACTCACTCACTCACCCACCCACTCACCCACTCACTCACCCACTCACTCACTCACCCACTCACTCACTCACCCACTCACTCACCCACTCACCCACCCACTCACTCACCCACTCACCCACTCACCCACTCACTCACCCACCCACTCACCCACTCACCCACCCACTCACTCACCCACTCACCCACTCACCCACCCATTCACTCACCCACCCACTCACTCACCCACTCACCCACTCACTCACCCACTCACTCACCCACTCACTCACCCACTCACCCACTCATTCACCCACTCACCCACCCACTCACCCACCACCCACCCACCCACTCACTCACCCACTCACCCACCCACTCACCCACCCACCCACTCACTCACTCACCCACCCACTCACCCACTCACTCACCCACTCACTCACTCACCCACTCACTCACTCACCCACTCACTCACCCACTCACCCACCCACTCACTCACCCACTCACCCACTCACCCACTCACTCACCCACCCACTCACCCACCCACCCACCCACTCACCCACCCACCCACTCACCAACTCACCCACCAACTCACCCACCCACTCACCCACCCACCCACCCACTCACTCACCCACCAACTCCCCCACTCACCAACTCACCCACCAACTCACCCACCCACTCACCCACCCACTCACTCACCCACTCACCCACTCACCCACCCATTCACTCACCCACCCACTCACTCACCCACTCACCCACTCACTCACCCACTCACTCACCCACTCACTCACCCACTCACCCACTCATTCACCCACTCACCCACTCACTCACCCACCACCCACCCACCCACTCACTCACCCACTCACCCACCCACTCACCCACCCACCCACTCACTCACTCACCCACCCACTCACCCACTCACTCACCCACTCACTCACTCACCCACCCACTCACTCACCCACCCACCCACCCACTCACTCACCCACTCACTCACTCACTCACCCACCCACTCACCCACCCACCCACCCACCCACTCACCCACCCACCCACTCACCCACCCACCCACCCACTCACCCACCCACCCACTCACCAACTCACCCACCAACTCACCCACCCACTCACCCACCCACCCACCCACCCACTCACCCACCCACCCACTCACCAACTCACCCACCAACTCACCCACCCACTCACCCACCCACCCACTCACTCACTCACCCACTCACTCACCCACCCACTCACCCACCCACTCACCCACCCACCCACTCACCCACCCACTCACTCACCCACTCACCCACCCACTCACTCACTCACCCACCCACCACCCACTCACCCACTCACCCACCCACCCACTCACCCACCCACCCACCCACCACCCACCCACCCACCACCCTACCTGCTGCACCACCGCTAGTGGAGGGCCTTGCTGAACCAGCCGCCTGTACGCTGCTGCATAGGCCACGGCATCGCGAGCTCTCCGCAGGGCGACGGCGAGTGAGCCACGCTGATGATGCTGCTGCTGATGCTGCTGCTGATGCTGCTGCTGCTGCTGATGATGCTGCTGATGATGCTGAGTCCGGCAGCGGTCGGGGTCGGAGGGGCGGCTCAGACGATAGCCGTGGCAGCGACAGGCGTAGCACCACCAGGCCACCGGGCTGCCAGCAGCAGCAGCAGCAGCATCAGCAGCAGCATCATCAGCAGCAGCAGCAGCATCAACATCATCATCAGCACCATCATCATCAGCAGTACCATCATCATCAGCAGCAACACCATCATCAGCAGCACCATCATCATCAGCAGTACCATCATCATCAGCAGCAACACCATCATCAGCAGCACCATCATCATCAGCAGTACCATCATCATCAGCAGCAACACCATCATCAGCAGCACCATCATCATCAGCAGTACCATCATCATCAGCAGCAACACCATCATCATCAGCACCATCATCATCAGCAGTACCATCATCATCAGCAGCAACACCATCATCAGCAGCACCATCATCATCAGCAGTACCATCATCATCAGCAGCAACACCATCATCAGCAGCATCAACATCATCAGCAGCACCATCATCAGCAGCAGCACCATCATCATCAGCAGCAACACCATCATCAGCAGCATCAACATCATCAGCAGCACCATCATCATCATCAGCAGCACCATCATCAGCAGCAGCACCATCAGTATCGTCATCATCAGCAGCAGCAGCAACACGCACACACAAGCAGAGACACGGAGAGAAATGGAGAGAGATGGAGAGAGATGGAGAGATAGCATCGTCAGTGTCCGGGATGGAACCCACGACCTCCTGCGTACCAGGCGAGGTAGTGAACATCTCCTAGCCACTGTGGTGTCAGGGTTGGGATTAAACCCACGACCTCCTGCGTACCAGGTGAGGTAGTTAACATCTCCTAGCCACTGTGGTGTCAGGGTTGGGATCGAACCCACGACCTCCTGCGTACCAGGCGAGGTAGTTAACATCTCCTAGCCACTGTGGTGTCAGGGTCCGGGATGGAACCCACGACCTCCTGTGTACCAGGCGAGGTAGTTAACATCTCCTAGCCACTGTGGTGTCAGGGTCCGGGATGGAACCCACGACCTCCTGTGTACCAGGCGAGGTAGTTAACATCTCCTAGCCACCGTGGTGTCAGGGTCCGGGATGGAACCCACGACCTCCTGCGTACCAGGCGAGGTAGTTAACATCTCCTAGCCACTGTGGTGTCAGGCTCCGGGATGGAACCCACGACCTCCTGTGTACCAGGCGAGGTAGTTAACATCTCCTAGCCACTGTGGTGTCAGGGTCCGGGATGGAACCCACGACCTCCTGTGTACCAGGCGAGGTAGTTAACATCTCCTAGCCACCGTGGTGTCAGGGTCCGGGATGGAACCCACGACCTCCTGCGTACCAGGCGAGGTAGTTAACATCTCATAGCCGGAGGGCGTCCGTGCCAGGCTAGGTGCACGCAAGCGCCCCACCTCGTCGCGACGGAGCAGCGTGGCCTCCAGCGGCGAAACTTGCGACGTCGGCTCCTCATCTTCACCTCGTCGGCCAGCCCAACCAAGTTTCTGTACTGCGTCTGGATCACACAGCACACACACACAGTACGTACACACACACAGTACACACACAGTACTTACACACACACACAGTACTTACACACACAGTACACACACACACAGTACACACACACACAGTACGTACACACACACACAGTACTTACACACACACAGTACTTACACACACACAGTACTACACACACACACACAGTATGTACACACACACACATAGTACTTACACACACACACACAGTACTTACACACACACAGTACTTACACACACACAATACTTACACACACACACACAGTACGTACACACACACACACACAGTACTTACACACACACACAGTACGTACACACACACACAGTACGTACACACACAGTATGTACACACACACACAGTACGTACACACACACAGTGCGTACACACACACAGTACGTACACACACACAGTACGTACACACACACACAGTACTTACACACACACAGTACTTACACACACACACACAGTACTTACACACACACACAGTACTTACACTCACACACACAGTACACACACAGTACACACACACAGTACTTACACTCACACACACAGTACACACACACACAGTACTTACACACACACACACAGTACTTACACACACACACACAGTATTTACACACACACACACAGTACGTACACACACACACACACAGTACGTACACACACACACAGTACGTACACACACACACAGTACTTACACACACACAGTACTTACACACACACACACAGTACTTACACACACACACAGTACTTACACTCACACACACAGTACACACACAGTACACACACACAGTACGTACACACACACACAGTACTTACACACACACAGTACGTACACACACACACAGTACTTACACACACACACAGTACGTACACACACACACAGTACACACATAGTACTTACACACACACACACAGTACGTACACACACACAGTACGTACACACACAGTACTTACACACACACACAGTACTTACACACACACACAGTACTTACACACACACACAGTACGTACACACACAGTACTTACACACACACACAGTACGTACACACACACACACAGTACTTACACACACACACACAGTACGTACACACACACACAGTACTTACACACACACAGTACGTACACACACACACAGTACTTACACACACACACACAGTACGTACACACACACAGTACGTACACACACACACAGTACTTACACACACACAGTACTTACACACACACACACAGTACGTACACACACACACACAGTACTTACACACACACACAGTACACACACACACACAGTACGTACACACACACACAGTACTTACACACACACACACAGTACGTACACACACACACACAGTACGTACACACACACACAGTACACACACACACACAGTACTTACACACACACAGTACGTACACACACACACAGTACGTACACACACACACACAGTACGTACACACACACACACACAGTACTTACACACACACACACAGTACGTACACACACACACACACACAGTACTTACACACACACACAGTACGTACACACACACACACAGTACTTACACACACACACAGTACTTACACACACACACACAGTACGTACACACACAGTACTTATACACACACACACACACAGTACTTACACACACACACAGTACGTACACACACACACACACAGTACTTACACACACACACACAGTACGTACACACACACAGTACGTACACACACACAGTACGTACACACACACACAGTACGTACACACACACACAGTACTTACACACAGACACAGTACTTACACACACAGTACGTACACACACACACAGTACGTACACACACAGTACGTACACACACACACACAGTGCGTACACACACAGTACGTACACACACACACAGTACGTACACACACACACAGTACTTACACACACACACAGTACTTACACACACACACACAGTACTTACACACACACACACAGTACACACACACAGTACTTACACACACACACAGTACTTACACACACACACACAGTACTTACACACACACACACAGTACACACACACACACACAGTACGTACACACACACAGTACACACACACACACACAGTACACACACACACACAGTACACACAAACACAGTACTTACACACACACACACAGTACGTACACACACACACACAGTACGTACACACACACACAGTACGTACACACACACACAGTACTTATACACACACAGTACGTACACACACACACAGTACGTACACACACACACAGTACGTACACACACACAGTACTTATACACACACACACACACACAGTACGTACACACACACACAGTACTTATACACACACACACAGTACTTACACACACACACAGTACTTACACACACACACAGTACTTACACACACACACAGTACGTACACACACACACACAGTACGTACACACACACACAGTACGTACACACACACACAGTACTTACACACAGACACAGTACTTACACACACAGTACGTACACACACAGTACGTACACACACACACACAGTGCGTACACACACAGTACGTACACACACACAGTACGTACACACACACACACAGTACTTACACACACACACAGTACTTACACACACACACAGTACTTACACACACACACACAGTACACACACACAGTACTTACACACACACACAGTACTTACACACACACACACAGTACTTACACACACACACAGTACACACACACACACAGTACGTACACACACACACACAGTACACACACACACACAGTACACACACACACAGTACACACACACACAGTACTTACACACACACACACACAGTACGTACACACACACAGTACGTACACACACACACAGTACGTACACACACACAGTACGTACACACACACACAGTACGTACACACACACACAGTACGTACACACACACACAGTACGTACACACACACAGTACTTATACACACACACACACACAGTACGTACACACACACACACAGTACTTATACACACACACACACAGTACTTACACACACACACAGTACTTACACACACACACAGTACTTACACACACACACAGTACTTACACACACACACAGTACTTACACACACACACACAGTACTTACACATACACACACAGTACGTACACACACACACAGTACGTACACACACACACACAGTACGTACACACACAGTACTTATGCACACACACACACAGTACGTACACACACACACACAGTACGTACACACACACACACACAGTACTTACACACACACAGTACTTACACACACAGTACGTACACACACACACAGTACGTACACACACACACACAGTATTTACACACACACAGTACTTACACACACACAGTACACACACACACACAGTACACACACACACACAGTACGTACACACACACAGTACGTACACACACACACAGTACACACACACACAGTACGTACACACACACAGTACACACACACAGTACACACACACAGTACTCACACACACACACACAGTACTTACACACACACACAGTACGTACACACACACACAGTACTTACACACACACACAGTACACACACAGTACTTACACACACAGTACGTACACACACACACAGTCATAATAAAGGTTTTTTGGTTAGATGGCGTTATTTATAAATGTGTCGTAGCCCTCCACCACCCGACACGGCCAATCAGCAAATAAAGTGTCACATTGACAAAAGACAAAAATAGTTCACTACTTTAGCCCACCGGTGTGTTGAAGAGTGAATCCACAACATTTACAGAAAGAGTTGTACGACGTTTCGTTGGTAAATACATCCAGCATCATCGGGCAATTCGCCAGAATGGCTCACTCACCCACTCACTCACTCACTCACCCACTCACTCACCCACCCACCCACTCACTCACCCACCCACCCACTCACCCACCCACCCACTCACTCACCCACCCACTCACCCACCCACCCACCCACCCACTCACCCACCCACCCACCCACTCACTCACCCACCCACCCACCCACTCACCCACTCACCCACCCACTCACTCACTCACCCACTCACCCACTCACACACTCAGTCACTCACTCACCCACCCACCCACTCACTCACCCACTCACTCACTCACCCACTCACTCACCCACTCACCCACCCACCCACTCACTCACTCACCCACCCACCCACCCACTCACCCACTCACCCACCCACTCACCAACCCACTCACCCACCCACCCACCCACTCACTCACCCACTCACTCACCCACTCACTCACCCACCCACTCACCCACTCACCCACTCACCCACCCACCCACCCACCCACTCACCCACCCACTCACTCACCCACTCACCCACACACTCACCCACCCACCCACCCAGCCGGGGTGAGCGTTGACGCTCACCTGGGTGAGCGTGAGCTGCACGCTGTCGGTGAGGAAGTGACACTGCAGGCGCGGAGAGTCTCTGGATCGCAGCGGTAGCACTGAGCGGTTGCGAGCGACCCTCACCTCGGCGCTCACCGGGGACAGCAGCCACACACGGCCCGCTGGTGAGCGGGAGGTGAGCGTCATGGCCTGCTACACTCACCAGCACACACACACAGAGAGAGAGACGGGAGTGGGTGGGTGGGTGGGTGGGTGAGTGGGTGGGTGGGTGGGTGAGTGGGTGGGTGGGTGGGTGAGTGAGTGAGTGAGTGGGTGAGTGAGTGGGTGGGTGGGTGAGTGAGTGAGTGGGTGAGTGGGTCGGTGGGTGAGTGGGTGGGTGAGTGAGTGGGTGGGTGAGTGGGTGGGTGGGTGGGTGAGTGAGTGGGTGAGTGAGTGGGTGGGTGGGTGAGTGGTTGGGTGAGTGGGTGGGTGGGTGGGTGAGTGGGTGGGTGGGTGGGTGAGTGGGTGAGTGGGTGAGTGGGTGGGTGAGTGGGTGGGTGGGTGAGTGGGTGGG